AGAACCCCGCCGACCACGCCTTCTCAACGGCGCTCTCACGTCGGGCCCGAGGCCGATGGAATGCGCCCGGTGTGGAGCATCTGCGACGCCCGCATCTCAGGGTTCCTCCTCTTCCTCCTCCTCCCCTTCTCCTCCTCCTCCTCCTCCTCCTCCTCCTCCTCCTCCTCCTCCTCCCTCCTCTTTCTCTTTCTCCTCCTCCTCCTCCCTCCTCCCTCCTCCCTCCCTCCTCCCTCCTCCCTCCTCCCTCCCTCCTCCTCCTCCCTCCCTCTCCCTCCTCCCCCCTCCCCCTCCTCCCTCCTCCCTCCCTCCTCTCCTCCCTCCTCCTTCTCATCCTTCTCATCCTTCTTCTCCTCCTCCCCCTCCTCCTCCTCCTCCTACCTTCCCTCCCTTCCCAAGCTCCGTGCGAAATCTGTCCCCAGACCCCCCTGGTGTGTATCCTACATCGTTTAAAGTTTATCACCGCAGGTCAATTGCTGACGGCCCCACGGCCCGAAGCGGCTTCCCAGCGGTTGAAATCGAAGAAGCAATCCAGCATTTGTTTGTTGTCCGAGCCGCCTCCTCCTCCTCTTATTCCCAACCATCCTGTGGTGTTGGGTCCTCGTTTTGAAAAGACATCGCCCCGCGCCCCACCCACCCACTCACTCACTCACTCACTCACTCACTCACTCACTCACTCACTCACTCACTCACTCACTCACTCACTCACTCACTCACTCCTCCTCCTCCTCTTCCTCCTACTCACTCACTCACTCACTCACTCCTCCTCCTCCTCTTCCTCCTCCTCTCTCCTCCATGCGTTTCACCCACCCAGTACAGCGCTTCGTGGCCCCATAGGGAACTCCACGTAAGGCCCAAGAGAGGGGGAGGGGCACATGCGTGCGCCACTCCCAGTACGGAGATTCGTGGCCACATAGGGAGCTCCACCTAAGGCCCCAAGGAGGGGGGGGGGGGGGCACATGCGTCCGCCACACCCAGTACGGCGCTTCGTGGTCCCATCTCCACCTAAGGCCCCAGGGGGCGGGGGGCCCGCCACACCCAGTACGGCGCTTTGTGGCCCCATAGGGAGTTCCACCTAAGGCCCCAGGGGGAGAGGGGGTACCACATGTTTCCGCCACACCCGGTACGGCGTGTCGTGGCCCCATCGGGAGCTCCACCTGAGGCCCCAGGGGGGGTACCACATGCGTCCGCCACACCCAATACGGCGCTTCGTGGCCCCATAGGGAACTCCACCTGAGGCCCCAGGGGGGAGGGGGGAGTACCACATGCATCCGCAACACCCAGTACGGCGCTTCGTGGCCCCATAGGGAGCTCAACCGAAGGCCCCAGGGGGGGGGGAACACATGCGTCCGCCACACCCAGTACGGCGCTTCGTGGCCCCATCGGGAGCTCCACCGAAAGCCTGGGGGTGGGGGGTACCACATGCGTTTGTCCTCCACACCCCGTGCAGTGCTCCGTGGCCCCATAGGGAGCCCCACCTGAGGCCCCAAAATGCGTCCCACACATCCAATTTGGCAATTTCACTAACCCAGTACAGCGTGTCGTGGCCCCATAGGAAGCTCCATCGAAACCCCCAGTGGGACCGTCCGCATGCGGTCCGCACACCCAATCGGGCACTTTCACCCACACAGTACAGCGTCTGGTGGCCCCATGTGGAGCTCCACCGAAGCCCCAAGTGGGACCGCTCACGTGCGTCCCGGAAGCCTAATTTGGCATCTTCACCCACGCAGTACAACTTTCGTGGCTCCATGGAGAGCTCCGCCGAAACCCCCTATTGGGACCGTCCGCCTCCGTCCCAGAAGCTTAATTTTGGCATTTTCACCCACCCACTACAGCGCTTCGTGGCCCCATAGGGGGCTCCACCGAAGCCCCCAGTGGGACCGTCCGCGTGCGTCCCGCACACTCAGTTGCGCATTTTCACCCACCCACTACAGCGTTTCGTGGTCCCATCGTGAACCCCACCGACGGCCCCAGAGGGGAGGGGGGGGCACACGCGTCTGCTACACCCAGTACAGCGCTTCGTGGTCTCATGGGGAGTTCCACCGACGGCCCTAGAGGGGGGGTACCACATGCGTCCGCCACACCCAGTGCAGTGTTTCGTGGCCCCATAGGGGGCTCCACCTAATGCCCCAGGGGGGGGTAGCACATTCGTCTGCAACACCCAGTGCAGTTTTCGTGGCCCCATGGGGGCTGCACCGAAGGCCCCAAAGAGGGGGGGGCACACGCGTCTGCCACACCCAGTACAGCGTCCCGTGGCCCCATAGGGAGCTCCACGCAAGCCCCCAGAGGGGGGGGTACCACATGCGTCCGCCACACCCAATACAGCGCTTCGTGGCCATATCAGGAGTTCCACCGAAGGCCCCAGGGGGGAGGGAGGGGGCGCATGCGTCTGCCACACCCAGTACGGCGCTTCGTGGCCCCATGACAGCTCCACCTGATGCCCCAGGGGGGTTGGGAACCACATGCGTCTGCCACACCCAGTACAGCGCCTCGTGGTCCTATAGGGAGCTGCACCGAAGGCCCCAGTGTGGGTGGAGACATGCGTCCGCCACACCCAGTACGGCGTTTCGTGGTTCCATAGGGAGCTCCACCTAAGTCCCCAGGGGGGGGGGGTACCACATGCGTGCGCCACACCCAGTACGGCGTTCGTGGCCCCATATGGAGTTCCACCTAAGCCCCCAGGAGGGGGTACCACATGCGTCCGCCACACCCAGTACGGCGCTTCGTGGCACCATATGGAGCTCCACATAAGGCCCCAGGGGGGGGTACCACATGCGTCCGCTACATCCAGTACGGCGCTTCATGGCCAGCGGGGCTGTCTGCATGCGTCCCGCACACCCAATTTGGCATTTTCACACACCAAGTATAGCGTTTCGTGGCCCCATAAGGGGGCTCCACCGAAGCCCCCAGTGGGACCGTCCGCGTGCGTCCCGCACATTCAGTTGCGCATTTTCACCCACCCACTACAGCGTTTCGTGGCCCCATAGTGAAACCCACCGACGGCCCCAGGGGGGAGAGGGGGGGGGGGCACACGCGTCTGCTACACCCAGTACAGCGTTTCGTGGTCTCATGGGGAGTTCCACCGACGGCCCTAGAGGGGGGGTACCACATGCGTCCGCCACACCCAGTGCAGTGCTTCGTGGCCCCATAGGGAGCTCCGCCTAATGCCCCAGGGGGGGGTAGCACATGCGTCTGCAACACCCAGTACAGTTTTCGTGGCCCCATGGGGACTGGAACGAAGGCCCCCAAAAGGGGGGGGCACACGCGTCTGCCACACCCAATACAGCGTCCCGTGGCCCCATAGGGAGCTCCACGCAAGCCTCCAGAGGGGGGGGTACCACATGCGTCTGCCACACCCAATACAGCGCTTCGTGGCCACATCAGGAGTTCCACCGAAGGCCCCAGGGGGGAGGGAGGGGGCGCATGCGTCTGCCACACCCAGTACGGCGCTTCGTGGCCCCATGACAGCTCCACCTGATGCCCCAGGGGGGTTGGGAACCACATGCGTCTGCCACACCCAGTACAGCGCCTCGTGGTCCTATAGGGAGCTGCACCGAAGGCCCCAGTGTGGGTGGAGACATGCGTCCGCCACACCCAGTACGGCGCTTCGTGGTTCCATAGGGAGCTCCATCGGAGGCCGCAGTAGGGGTGGCCACATGAGTCCGCCACACCCAGTACAGCGTTTCGTGGTCAGTGGGGCCGCCCGGATGCGTCCCGCACACGCAATTTGGCATTTTCACCCACCCGCTAAAGCGCCTCGTGACCCCATAGAGAGCTCCACCGAAGCCCCCACATGGACCGCCCACATGCGTCCCACACACCCAATTTGGCAGTTTCACCAACCCAGTACAGCGTTTCGTGGCCCGTAGAAAGCTCCACCGAAGCCCCCAGCGGGACCGTCCGCATGCGCCCCGCACGCCCAAATTGGCATTTCCGCCCACCCACTACAGCGCGTCGTGGCCCCATTAGGAGCTCCACCGAAGCCCCCAGTGAGACCGTCCGCCTGCGTCTTGAAAGCCTAATTTGTCATTTTCACCCATCCAATTTTTGGCATTCCCCCCCCCACACCCAATTTGGCATTTTCGCCCACCCAGCACAGCGCTTCGCGGCCCCATAGGGGGCTCCACCGACGGCCCCCGTGCTACCGCCCGCATGCGTTCCCCACCACCCAGTGCAGCGCTTCGTGGCCCCATAGGGAGCTTCACCGAAGAAGATATTCACATTTGCCGTACGCACAACTGCATATGGTTGGGTCCTTCGCCAAGATAGTTTGTTTTTCCTCGACCTGCCTCCTGAGATCTTCGACGTCGTGGACCCCCATAGGTCTATACCATTCCCCGAGACAGACGTTTCACCCCAAGTCGTGTTGCTTGCAGCCCTGGGGCCCAGTAGGAGCCCCCACGGGGCCAAAGACGACCAGAAATCTTCCGTCGTGATTCTTCGGTATACCAGTTTTCAATCCGCGCCTCCCGAAGGCCCCGACTGCTTCCCAGGGGATAGCTTTTCGTTCCGCATCTGATTTTGGTAGTTCGGGGGCCCGAAAGCAGGCCCTCGAGGAGGGCTGACATTGGAGAAGACTCGCCGGTTGAAATAACACCATGCCATCAGAGATTTGGGTCAGTTTCTCGATCCCCCTCCCCGATCTTCCTCGAGCCCCACCCCCGTCCCCTCCTTGTCCTGTAGCGCCGTTCGATCCTCCTCCTCGAACCTCCTCATCCTCCTCCTGCAACCACCTCCTCTTCCTCCTCTTCCTCGATCCTCCTCCTCCTCCTCTTCGATGCTCCTCCTCCTCCTCCTCCTTTTCGATCCTCCTCCACGATCCTCGATCCTCGATCCTCCTCGTCCTTCTCCCCGATACTCCTCCTCCTCCTCCTCCTCCTCCTCCTCCTCCTCGTCCTTCTCCTCCTCCTCGTCCTCCTCCTCCTCGTCCTCCTCCTCCTCGACCCTTTCCGAACATCACCTCCTCCCCCTTTTCGTCCTGTAGCAGGGCCACTGCCCGCGAGGAGGCGGACCCGGAGCTGGCGCCGCCCGCGCAGGAGAAGCGAGAGGAGAGGAAGGAGCCGGCTACTCTGCATCCAAACTCCTCCTCCTCCTCCTCCTCCTCCATCTCCTCCTTCCCCTCCTCCTCCTCCTCCTCTCCTCCGCCTCCTCCTCCTCCCTCCTCCTCCTCCCCCCCCCTCCTCCTCCTCCTCCTCCTCCTCCTCCTCCTCCCCCGGCCCTGAGCCTCTTCCTCTGCTTACACTTCCTGTTCTGCACGCGCCGTCTGTCCAAACTCTGCCTGTTGCTAGGCCAGGGTCGGCCTCGCACACGTTTTGGCTCCCGGCCATCCTGTGGTGGTGGGCCCTCGTTTTGAAGAGACGGTCCCCGCGTCCCTTCTCTCCTCCTCCTCCCTCCTCCCTCCTCCTCCCTCCTCCTCCTCCTCCTCCCTCCTCCTCCCCCTCCTCCCCCTCCTTCTTCCTCCTTGCCTTTCACCCACCCAGTGCAGCGCTTCGTGGCCCCATTGGGAGCTCCACCTAAAGGCCCCAGTGGGGGTGGCCACATGCGTCCACCACACCCAATACAGCGCTTCGTGGCCCCATAGGGAGCTCCACCTAAAGCCCCAGTGGGGGTGGCCACATGCGTCCGCCGCACCCAGTACAGCACTTCGTGGCCCCCTAGGGAGCTCCACCTACGGCCCCAGTGGGGGTGGCCACATGCGTCCGCCACACCCAGTACAGCGTTCCGTGGCCCCATAGGGAGCTCCATCTGTTGCCCCAGTGGGGGTGGCCACATGCGTCCGCCACACCCAGTACAGTGTTTCGTGGCCCCATAGGTAGCTCCACCTAAAAGCCCCAATGGGGTGGCCACGTGCGTCCGCCAAACTCAGTACAGCCCCATAGGGAAACCACCTACGGCCCCAGAGGGGGGGGCCACATTCGTCCGCCACACCCAGTACAGCGCTCCGCGGCCCCATAGGGAGCTCCCCCTAAGGCCCCAGTTGGGGTGACCACATGCGTCCGCCACACCCAGTACGACGTTTCGTGGCCCCATAGGAAGCTCGACCTAAGGCCCCAGCGGGGGTTGCCACATGCGTCCGCCACACCCAGTACAGCGCTTCGTGGCCCCATAAGGAGCTCCACCTAAAGCCTCAGCGGGGGTGGCCACATGCGTCCGCCACACCCAGTACAGCGCTTCGTGGCCCCACAGGGAGCTCCACCTAAGGCGCCAGTGTGGGGGGGGACCACATGCGTCGGCCACACCCAGTACAGCGCTTCGTGGCCCCATAGGGAGCTCCACCTACGGCCCCAGTGGGGGTGGCCACATGCGTCAGCCACACCCAGTACAGCGTTCCGTGGCCCCATAGGGAGTTCCATCTAAGGCCCCAGTGGGGGGGGCCACATGCGTCGACCACACCCAGTACAGTGTTTCGTGGCCCCAAAAGGAGCTCCACCTAAGTCCCCAGTGGGGGTGGCCACATGCGTCCGCCAAACCCATTACAGCGCTTCGTGGCCCCATAGAGAGCTCCACCTAAGGCTCCAGTGGGGGGGGGTACCACTTGCGTCCGCCGCACACAGTACAGCGCTACGTGGTCCCATAGGAAGCCCCTCCCAAGGCCCCAGTGGGTTGGCCACATGCGTCCGCCACACCCACTACAGCGCTTCGTGGCCCCATAGGAAGCTCCACCTAAGGCCCCAGTGGGGTTGGCCAGATGCGTCCGCCACACCCAGTACAGCGCTTCGTGGCCCCATAAGGAGCTCCACGCAAGGGCCTAGTGGGGGTGGCCACATGCGTCGGCACACCCAGTACAGCGCTTCGTGGCCCCATAGGGAGCTCCACCTAAGGCGCCAATGGGGGTGGCCACATGCGTCCGCCACACCCAGTACAGCGCTTCCTGTCCCCATTTGGAGCTCCACCTAAGGCCCCAGTGGGGGTGGCCACATGCGTCCGGCACACCCAGTACGACGTTCCGTGGCCCCATAGGGAGCTCCACCTAAAGGCCACAGGGTGGCCACACGCGTCCGCCACACCCAGGACAGCGTTTCGTTGCCCATAGGGAGCCCCACCGAAGGCCCCAGTGGCACCGCCCGCATGCGTCTCCCCCACCCATTACGGCACGTCCTCACGCGCTTCGTGGCCCCATAGGGAGCTCCACCGTAAACGGCACCCACAACGCGTTATTCACAACTGCATATGATTGGGTCCTTCGCTTCGGCCACGTAGCTAAATTCTGACCAGCGCCAAGAAGAGGACAGAGCCGGTTCGGCGGGCCGCCTGGCGCGTACCGTGCTCTCCCCGGTGGTGCTCACCTCGGAGATCGATGCCCTCAACTCTCATGGTAAGGTGGAGTGACGTCTCCAAGGGCACCCCTTGCCCGCTTGCCTGTTCGGCCCATCCTTAGGCAATCCCGAGCTCAACCTCCCTTCAACCTGGGCGTCCAGGGGGCATGTGCGTCCTTACGCGCATCCTCATGATGCAGCGTTGGCTGTACCCACTTGGGCCTTCGCTGGGGCTCCTTACGGGGCCACGAAGCGTGTGAGGGGTGTGCCAAAATGGGGCAGCGGCGCCATGCGGGCGCTGCCGCTTGGGCCTTCGGGAGGGCTCCATATTGGGCCAAGAAGCGTGTGAGGGGTGTGCCGAGATGCGCACGCGGAGAGCAGAGACAGGGATGGGAGGAAGGAGGAGGGCAGCGGGAGGAAAGGGCGGGAGGTGAGGAACGCGAGGAGCTGTCTCTTCAAAACGAGGACCCAACACTACAAGATGGTTGGGAAACACATTCTACCGCCGCAGATGGACAAACATAGCATCGGCTCCACCGCCTCATATGCACAAATTAGTATCGGCGGAAGGTCTTTTACTTAACTCGGAGGTTGATAATTGCAACCCCCACCGTGCCCAGTCGATTGGCGATTTGCTTATTTAAACGCTTCGCTCATTCCGCCGGCCCTGGAGCGTTATTTGGGGCCTCTTGGGGCCGTCTTGGGGGCCTCTCGGGGGCTTCTTGGGAGCGTCTTGGGGCTCCTGTGCGGCGTCTTGGGCTCCCCTGGGGCCTCTGATTGGCGATTTGCTTATTTCGGTCCTCGAGCAGGTGCTGCGGCCGCAATCTCTGCATGCCTGCGCCCGCCGGGCCTGTTATCGGGTCGTTCCTGCTCGAGGATGCCTTGCTCAATCGGGTGCTGTCCACGCCGGGCGTACCCCCCCGGGTTTCAAACATCGGGGCCCTCACGGAGTTTGAACGGAACTTGAGGAGAGAGCCCTGAGATCTGGGCGTGGCAACTTCTTCCGCCCGCCACGGGGCCATCACGAATCGATCTGGCTCACGGAGCCAGCCGTCGGAGTAGTTCGTTTTGGATTCATGTTTCATGGCCCCGGAGCCCGATGGCCGAAACCGAGGACGAATCGCCAACTGAAAAAAGTTGCCTGGCAAAGAACCCAACTATATGCAGTTATGAATGCCGCAATTGTGAAGATCTGATTCGGTGGTCCTTATGGGGCCACGGAACGTGTGAGGGGTGTGCTCAAAAAGTAGCGATGGACGCATGCGGAGGGCCTTCGGTGGAGCTCCCTATGGGGCCACGGAACGGGTGAAGGGTGTGCCGAAATGGGTGTGGGGACGCATGTGGACGGTGGCACTGGGGCCTTCGGTGGAGCGCCCTATGGGGCCACGAAACTTGTTAGGAGTGGGCCGAAAAGTGTGTGTGTGTGTGTGTGGTGTGGGGGGGGGGGGGCGCAAGTGGACGATGGGATTCAGGCCTTCGGTGGAGCTCCCTATGGGGCCACGAAACGTTTGAGGGGTGTGCCGAAATGATTACGGGGGACGCATGTGGACCGAGGCATTGGGGCCTTCGGTGGAGCGCCCTATAGGGCCACGAAGCGTGTAAGGGGTGCGCCGACATGGGTGTGGTGGACGCATGTGGACGGTGGCACTGGGGCCTTCGGTAGAGCTCCCTATGGGCTACGAAACGTTACGGGGATGTGCCAACATGGGTGTGGGCATGCATGTGGACGGTGGCACTGGGGCCTTCGGTGGAGGTCCCTATGGGGCCACGAAACGTGTGAAGGATCAGCCGACATATGCGTGGGTGACGCATGTGGACCGTGGCACTGGGGCCGTCGGTGGAGCTCCCTATGGGGCCACGAAACGTGTGAGAGGGGTGTGCCGAACTGGGTGCGGGGGATGCATGTGGACGGTGGCACGGGGGCCTTCGGTGGAGCTCCCCTTGGGGCCACGGAACGTGTGAGAGGGGGTGTCGTGCGGTGGACGCATGTGGACCGTTGCACTGGGGCCGTCGGTAGAGCTCCCTATGGGGCCACGAAACGTGTGAGAGGGGTGTGCCGAACTGGGTGCGGGGGATGCATGTGGACGGTGGCACGGGGGCCTTCGGTGGAGCTCCCCTTGGGGCCACGGAACGTGTGAGAGGGGGTGTCGTGCGGTGGACGCATGCGGTGGAGCTTCCTATGGGCCACGAAACGTGTAGGAGGTCGGGGACGCATGGGACGGTGGGCACTAGCTCCCTATGTGGCCGAAGCGGTGTGAGGGGTGTGCGAAACGAGGTCGGGGGCCCATGTGGACAGTGGCACTGGGGCCTTCTGTGGAGCTCCATATGGGGCCACGAAGCGTGTGAGTGTGGGGTGTACCGAAAATGGTGCGGTGGACGCACGTGGACGGTGGCTTGGGGCCTTCGTGGAGCTCCTTATGGAGCACGGAACGTGTGAGGGGGTACCGAAAATGGTGCGGTGGACGCACGGGTGACGGTGGCATTGGGCCTTCGGTGAGCTCCTTATGGGGCCCGGAACGTGTGGTGTGTGTGTGTGTGTGTGTGTGTGTCTGTGTGTGTGTGTGTTTGTGTACCGAAATTGGTATGGGGGACGCATGTGGACGATGGCTGTTGGCCTTCGTGGAGCTCCCTACGGGGTCACGAAACGTGTGAGCGGTGTGCCGAAATATGTCGGGGGATGCATGTGGACGGTGGCACTGGGGCCTTCGGTGGAGCGCCCTATGGGGCCACGGAACGTGTGAGAGAGGTGTGCCGAAATGGGCGTGGTGGACGCATGTGGACGGTGGCTGTGGGGCCTTAGG